TGGGAGGGTGGAGGGATAGCGCAGGAGGGGAAGACCCTCTATGAGATGGATTGATTCGGTGACTGGGGTAATTGGGATGGGTGTGTCAGAGGCAGTGCGGCTGGCGCAGGACAGAGCAGGGTTTAGGGATGTTGTGCATAGGGTCGGTATCAGTCGCAAACAACTCGACGGCACATAACAACAACAACAATCTAAAAAAAAAAGATACTACCTTTAAACTATTATCATGGTGCTTAGCACACAGGAAACCCTGAAAACATACTTACTATTAATAATGCAAGACAGATAATAAAGATGACCAATCAATATTATAAGACTATTTATACAGGAAAAAAGGTTGAGATCTGTTATTTACAGAATCTCTATGAGTCACAGTCGATTCAGTAATAACTAACAACAAATAGGAAGACTCAAGTGGAAAAATCCAGAGCACCTTATCATTGCTTATCTAAGTCTATAATTATGTGGAAACATGTGCCCAGTTGAGAGTCAACTAAAAAGGAGGCAGAACAATTATGAGTTTGCCCTGTGTTGAGATGGTGATGCTGCACTGAGGAACACTGAGGGGTACACACCTCAGAGAGGTGATCCAGGCCCTCCCATTCACCAGCCTGCTTCCCAAGTCCCCTCACCCTCACCTCTGGCTGGAAAATGTAAATGAAGTAACTGCCATTCTCTACCTGGGGGACAGGGAGTCAGGAATGCAGCATGGGAGCGTGCAATGTTAACTCTGATAACAGAATGATGGGGTAAAGCAGGAGAGGCCAGGAAGCAGTGGTCCTTCCATGTGGAAGTACTAAACAGTTATCTGCTGAATGAATTAAAAACTGAAAGGACAGATGAATTTCAAAGGAGAACCTATCTTACCTCTTACAACAACAGATCACGGTCCAAGACAGGATTCCCATGGCAACAACAATGACAAAGGAAGCAATGATAACATATAATACGCTCCACTCTGTCAAGAAAAACAAAACAGTGAAAGCTATGAAGATAGAGGCTGGAAGGTAGGTTTGGGCTGCCCATACCTTGGGCAGGAGGTAGCGTCACTCTCAAGACAAGAACTTCTGCTACGATCCCCAGGAAAAGCAAGACCTTGGGGCTGAGGGCTACTGAAGTTCTGAACCTCCAAAACTGTCCCTTCTTTCCAGTTTCTGCTCTAGGCATGCTCTGAGCTCCTGGAGCAATGGAGCAGGCTGCCAAAAGCGTGAACAGGGAACAGAACCTGGTCTGATTTAAGCTTGAATGCTTCAGAGCTTGCCTCTAACCTTGAACAAATATGGAGGAAGGAAGCGAAAGTATACTGCAAACAGAAAATACACAAAGTTCTCCTTGCCTGCTCATCTGCCTTGCAAACACAACACCCACCCACGCAGCTCAGAAGCACACTCAGTGCCAAGCTGACTGGTACAGTGCCAAGCAAAAAACGTACCACAGTTACTGTCTCCATCCCTCAGCTGCACCTTGATGAAATTCTCCATCCAAAAAGGGTCACAGACACAGCGCTTGGTGAAGGAGTCACAGTGGCCATGGTCAGAACAGTTCAACTGACAGGCTGGAGGAAGGGAGAAAGGGAAGAAGTCAGAGCCATGGGAACAACTAACATTAGTGCCCAGGAAGACACTAACGCACCCACGACTCAATGTTCAGTGGTACAATTCCCTGGGGACTTGATCCAAAAGCGTTGACAGCTTGGCAGTGGTTCAGAATAGCTAGCATTGCTGGATAAAACTGGAGCAATTAGGAAGGCCATGAGAAGACAGCTCCAGTCTGTCTTCACTTGTGATTTGTCTGTATTGGCAGTTCTTTCATCTTTTAGGCCTTATGTACCTCTTTCTCAAAACAATGTAAGTGAAAAATAAATATATGGTATTACAAAGAAAAGCTATTATATTTAAATGTGTCTGAATAACATAAATTTATAAAATAATAATTTATATCAATATTCAAACAGTAAGTGACACCTAGAAGTAGATCAGGGAGCTCTGGTGCTAAAGACACTCCTAGCATCTCAAAAGCATACAGCTTAAGAATGGGCAATTTCTTCCTGTGCAATTTATTGCCTCTAAAAACCTGCTGAGGGTCAGCTATGGGTCAGTTCTGACTCAATGGCACACAAAAGTAAGTAGATAAAGAAATTTTTTTATAAGGTTTTTT